GAGAGGAGCCATACATCATTTAACGATTCGCGATGCTTTTATATATTTTTTTCAAAACTTACAGACGGCAGATATAACGGGATTAAATAAAAAAATAAACCCCATTAGAGATCAAAAAATAAACTTATGAATAATTTATGGATTTTTGTTGTATACAGCATTTATCCTATTTATATATAAAGATTTTTAATTCGCGAAGAGTCAATAAATGATCGATTAATGTCTTTGGATATTATTTTAGAAAAGACGTTATTTTACTCGTCTCCTTAATTATAGAGAAACAAAGTGATAATCTTATACTTTAAATTATGCAACGTCAATGATAATGATGTTTCCTCCGTTAAGAAAATTATATTTTCCCAAGTCACTGTGATATTTCTATTTGTGATTAGTTTTCAAAGTGACGCGATCCGGTTTTGCGCCAATAACGGTTCACATTTAATATACAATAGATAACGCTAACCGATAACGTTTCAACAGGACGAGTCATATCACTCCGTAACAAGAGTTTCCTGCGTCGTTTATCGTTTTCTATCTCGCGAAAAACTTGCGGGGAAAAAAAACTTGCGCGCTTGTCCACTCTCTTTTCTCCTTCGATCCTTCGATACTGTTATGCACCGCTAACACGCGTACGCGATAACTCTCCGCATGAATACTAATTGATTACTGTAATATACGATCGTCTCCTTCCGTCGCGATTACCGTTGTCCGGTTTCTTCGTTTTCGTACGTCCAGAGGGAGAAAATTACGCGGATTATTATTACGCGATACTGCCGCGTCGGTGCAACAAGAGTAATTACTTTTGAGAAGAAGAAGCCGCGTCTTCGCAAACGCGAATGTTTATGTTCCCTCAGGACCGGCCAATTGAAGTATTAGTGCCTACATTATCTAAAGCTTAATCGCTTCCGACAACAACAAAGTATTCAAATGCAATAGTCAGGTAACGTGTCGATTTTTTTTACCTCGTCCTGGTAAAGTCAGCACGTACAGGACCGTCGATCCTGCGCGTTCGATCTTTGCGAGCGCTCGAACGCAACTGCGCGCAGGAATGTAATTATTCATCTCGGTTCTCATCTTAACACATCGCAGTAATAGCCACAAATTATTGTAATTTGGATCGTAAATTGGCGCAATTTTCTGCGCTCCTTCGTGGTAGCGCAACAAGGTAGCCGCTCGTCCGCATTCAGGAGAAATAGAAAATATCATGCAGAAATCGACTCGTTATCACGGAAACCGGTCATCGAGCAGTCGAGTGCGGCTTCTATCGCTGCGGAATGAGAAATAGGGCCTTTTTTTAAATTGATCATCGATTTCGCGCTATCTCGAAGAAAGACTCGAACCTGAAAATAACGCGGCGTTTTACGGCGCGATGGACTCGTTACTCTTGAGAGGATTTAGGCGCGTTAACGGGAATGCAAAAACGAAAGTAAAGTGGCAGCGCGGTAAGGTAAGCTTGTCGGGCAAAAACCGCGTCGAAGATAATGGAAGCGAGCATAAGAGAGTGGGTCGAGTGAACCGGGTCACGAGGAATCGGTGAAAAATTCATCTTACAATTAGTACTTGGCGAATTGAATAACGAGTCGAGTTACAAGTCGAAAAGCGTATGCAAAAGCGAGAGTCCGCGCGCTGAAGACACACACAAAGGAAAAGAGAAGGTCGGAGGTCACGGATCTCTTCCTCGTCAGTCTAGAAATCATTATCGGTTATCTTGCGAAAATCTTAATCTTGCAAGAGTCGAAGGAAACGGCGCGGCGCGTCGAAGAGTGTGCACGAATGGCAACGGGGGTGGCCATGGTAATAAACCATGGTAAAGCACGTTGTAAAGAAGAAAAAGAAAGAAGTAGTGAAGGAAGAGAGAAAGAAGCGGAACTCTCTCAGGATCGATGGGAGGATCAGAGGTGTATGTAGTATCTTCTTAAGTTTAATGGTAGAAGAGAAGTGCAGGAAGAAATAAGGGGAGAAAAATAAGAAACATCGAATAATAAGGAAGGATAAGAGAGGCGGCGCGAGGAAAGACGTGGAAAAAATGGAAGGAAGAAGGCCAGGTTCACGGACCTTGGGCCGAGATCGAGGGATTAGCGAGTGCACCACATTTGAAACTGATAATTATGCCCGATAATACGTGAGCGTAGCCGCGAATAATCTCGGGCGAGGTTAATGCGCGCGGATCAGAACGGACAGGATGGCAGAAAATATAATAATACGTAAAGAGTTTCTATTCTACCTCGACATATTTTGATTGATTTGGAACTTGACCTCTCCTAACGTCGCGGTTAATTTCAGCCTCGGTTTAATTAATCCTTCCTGTCTGGATCTAGAATTGAGAAAAGAATTTTCTTTGTACGTTCGATAATCTTCAATCTAGTAGGCAATTTGTAGCTTTCTAGCGGAACAATGCAAGTGCGGAAGTGTAATACTGGATTGTTGCTTTTGACGACGGTGACCAGGCCGAGAAAAAAACCACGCCGCTACGGCAAGTGCAGGAAGAAGGGAAGAACAGTGGGTGAAGGAAGATAAAGAAGAAGAGGAAGAAGCAGAAGAGTGGTAGCCAGCTCGGCGGGGAGCGACGACCGAGGGAGGGAAGCTAAGGTCACGGACCTCCTTCTCTTCGAGATCGGCAGAAGATCGGTCGCGACTTCGCTACCTTCGCGGGACTTCGCTTAAACTTGCTAATGTAAAAGACCGCTGTGTGCCTTCGTAGCGATGTTTAAAGGCGACACGTTGCGCAATCACGTAATTTACGCGTTAACTGCGCGCGCGAGACACGACTTGACTTGACTTGACGGACATAGCATAAAGCCTGCCTAGATAAGGGTCTAGGTCCGGGGATAACCACCGGTATAGAAGGGAAGTCGTTAATTCGTGGCACGTTTGTTGTGTCAAGGGTGACACTTTGCGGAAAAAAGTGGAAAATGACTCTTTTCGTCGCGAAATGTAGAAAAGGGCGACGACATCGTCGCGTTGTTCTGCCGTTGGCGAGTCAGCGAGTATGCTGATGAAAACGAGTCGTCGCATATTAAGTAGACAGAACAATTTGAACGAGACGAAGGATAGAGGAAACTCTCTCTCTCGACCGTACGTGACGTGACTGTATCGCGTGGATATATAGAGATGAAAATCGACGCTTAAGATTCGTCAGATAAACTCTTCTCTTCTGACGTAACGTAACGAGAGAGGGTTGGTCCCGCGGTTAGAAATATGCCGCGAGGATTTCATACTCGTCGGTGTCATTTCGGTCTCATCCGGCCGTCTCGGCGGAAACAACGCGCGACGCGAACTCGCCGAGGACTTGATCAACGCCTGTCAGACGGTACCTGCTAATCCTCCGTAGTGCTGCAATCCTCGAGCGCAGCGAGCGCGGCGGACTCCCGACCGGCTGCCGCTGAACATCAATTTGTCTACCGAGGTAATAAAAGGAAACGCGCAAGTCTCTCCCCGGCGTGCACTTCCTGATGCAGGCGCGCTTGCCTACAATGTATATTAAACATTCTACCGGTCGTTCAGCGTCCGTCAGCCGACGCTTGTTTAACTTTACCTCTCGTGAACAGGAACGGCTGCTGCGAAGCTCCCGCGCGGAACATACGTTCAAGCCGTCTTCTATCTGCCACGGTTTCTAGGGTATCGCCACGAGCGATCAAATAAGCTGCTGAAAAAAAAACCAACACGGGGTTATTTCTCATTGAATCATCTTGGCTACCAGCTGCATTATTTATCCTCCCTTATCACATAACTTCGTGTTATTTGATCACAATTACATGAAATTATATAGCAAAATAAAAGAAATAATATGAAGATTATCGCTCACACATATATAGATATAAAAATGCATTTAATATTGTTTCTCTTTAATCAAGCGAATATCTATTTGAACAAATACAGAAAATTAATGATACCAGCAATGTGTCATCGGAATCGCGACATGACCGAGGACTTGGTCGGTAGTTGTCCATTGTTTATTCCCAGACGGATGCATCGTGTGAAACATTGCATGAGTTCACTTCTTGGGTTACCTTATCCATGTAGGGAACATTCGCCACGTTCTTCAACAGTTGCGCATTGCGCACGTGATGATGATATTTCATTGTAAATTATTGCTCGATGCGTGCGAAGCTAGCCACGTAGTGCGTACGTTAAGTGCGAAGAAAATATTACCACCTCGCGTCGTATCTTTCGAGATTAATGTTGAATTATGCCCGCGACGATATCCTCTCGGAATCGTTCTCCCGTCACTTCCTACTCTGACATTCGCAAAGACGTAACTCTTGATTACAAGTCTTGTCCTATATGTATTTTTCTGAAGTAAGAAATTTTCTTGAAATCAACTAGAGGAATATTTACGTGTGAAAGAAAGCGCGATAGAGACACAGATTGTTCCACTTCCAATTATGTAAATTACGTCACTTTTTTAATACTTATCTCTTCTTCAAGATCGGGGACACATGTTCCTTTCAATATGCGGCTCGACGTCAGCCAATAACGGTGAAAGTACCTATCATAGAGCTCCACGAATAAACAGTGTCTAACCCAATGGGATGTTCATCACCGCGAATGCATCTCTCCCGAGCTGCATTCTTCGCTTTTCAAGGTCGAGACGTTTACGATTTTATGGGGCAATTACCCATGGTATACTGCAACTTAGTTTGCGGATAAGGCTAACTTCCATTCATCCTTCCATGAAATGAAATCGTAAATTGTCTTGAGAGTTAGCCGCAAGCTATATTTTTTCAAATGTCGATTCGAAAAATGTAAAAAAATGCAATATTGAAAAGCAAGTTTCGATCTTGAAGAAAGACTAATTCATATTAATGTATTATTTTATATGTTGACAGTATATAATGTATTTAAACGTTTTATATAATATTTTCTTAAATAAAAAATATATTAAAACACTTGTTTTTAATATATTTAATAACAATTATATTCTTTCGTATCATTCTAATATTTTAAATCGTATACATTTTGCTTTAATTTCTTATAAAATATTTATACTTACATTTCAGTACAAAGCAAAGTGAGATGTTCCAAGCAGATGATGGAGGTGGATATAGTGAGGAGTAGTCCGCAGGCGAAGATATATCTGCAACAATTTAAACATTTTCCAGGTGAAATAGCTCTTCAAATACATTACACATTACGCGTCGCGCATAAATCAAAAATATCATAATAAATTCCTTTTACAGATGAGGCTTGTAAGCCACAATTTCACGATGGCGTTGCCACGTTCAAATTATCATTGCTGGAACAGGACATGTTGCGATGCGGTATTACAAGAGTCCTTAACAAAGTCACGGTAACTCTCATACAATTTCATTCCGAATCCCCGTTTTAACTATTCCGGGTTATTATGCTCTATCATAACGTAATGTTGTATCTAAATTGAAATTTCTGCATTATACGTAATGTGGCATTAAATTGTTATATCGGAATTATAAGTGTTGATGGTTGTTGATGCAGGGTCAAAAGATGTACTATCATCGGGTAATAGTGGAGGAGCCAGCGGATTCTAGCAAACACACGTTCACTGTGAAATGCGTAATCACCGAAGTCGTCGTGGAGCCAGAAATCGCCATCGCATCCAATCATACGGCGGTACGACGAAGCGTTCTTCCGGCGGGCTTTCAGGAACCTGAGTAAGTCATCAATCATTCAACATATTGAGTATTTGATATTGCAACATATATAAAATATCCGGCATTTGTCGTGACGCGAATGCAATCATTCATTTTGTTGTTGCGATAAATATGTATAATTCATTGCTGCGCGAGTAATAATAACGTGTACAAAAGAAAAAACAATCGGAGCTTATAAGTTCTATAAGCAACGTAAATAGAAGAGATCGCGCGTAAGAAGGTATCGTGCTAATGAGCGTGATATTTATCAAATCTATTAGATGGAGTAGAGGGAGAGAAACTTGACTTGGCAGTCTCGAGATTCTCGGACCGCGGCTTTTCATTTCTCGCCAAGTCATTCGACAGTGTTAATCGCGTCGTACAGCGACAAGAGATAGACAAGAGTCTCTCACACTTCCTTTACGTACGAAATGATCTCTCCAAACGAGTAGTTTTAATTACCCGGAAGTCGCGCCTCTCTTGCGTGAGTGTGAGAGAAAAAACTTCTTCCTACGCACAGAAACCTCATCACGACGAAATCATTTTGGCGATTGATGACATGACAGTCACCACATCAACGGGCGTGATTCGTCGTGCAAAAAGTGACATTTCTCATCGATTTACGACGTAGCAGATTTTCTACGCGAATGGAGTTTTAATCAGCAAAATTTATTATCGTATTAATTTCCTTTCTTGCTCGATTTATATTGGTAATTATTATGTTTGCTAAATGTAAGGCGGGAATGTAATTTGCACAAGTGATATACTTCTTCCGTTTCTTCATCCCTGAAGAAGGGAAGACGGAAAATATTTCATATCAACGTTTCTTATCTCAACATTTCATATCTTGACGATGACATATAATAAATGAGTTTGAGAGAGAGATCACTAAGTATAATGCAGTAATTACATTGTATTCCTTTCGGCATCGAAGCATACTAATATTATCGCTGTCATCATAAATATAGGTCTCGTCGTTACTCTCGCGAAGCAGAAATTAACGCGAGATATATTATTTTTATTAAATTCACAATTGAGCAATTTTCTACGGGTATCGACATTTTTTAATTGACCGACAATTTGAATTTATTAGCGAAAAAGTAAAACTGGTTGATGGATCTAGACAGATATATATGTAGTGATGCAAAGGTATAGACGCGGCGAGGTTGGCTCATCAAGGACGGTAAAATTGTGCGGAAAATTCGATGATTACAGAACGACCAGCCGGTCGTTCCGATTCACATTCGAGTGAATAAATCCCACCTGACCTGAATATGCATCATGCAGAAGCAAGATAAACAACTACGGGAGTTATCGTCAGGAGTTTATAATTTGCAAACAAGTCGAGATGCCGCCGTCTGATTTATTTGCACAACGGTTGAACGCGTGTGCGCGCAGCTGCTGAAAAACTTGTAATATAATTCAATATGCGAGGTCTATAATAAATTTTCCTAACTTTTTTCTTCGAAAATCACTTGACAGGTCACACATCTCGTGCAAAATTATTCCAGCTGGTCTACATTTCCTCGAGAAAACACGTACACAGACTTTGTCAACAATGCGTTTTCGTTCGTTTACATTAGAGATTCAAATAAATTTTATTTTTTTATTTTCCATAATTCGAGACGTCGAAGAAGCAAAAGAAATCTGAATGTTAAGAGCTGCTGCAAGTGACAGCCTCCTTCGACATTCTCCCCATGAGATTGACGTAAGATTTGTCGAGGAATTTAATAGCGGGACATTCTGCGGATAGTTAAGACACGTGGTGACATTACGCGAGTCGATTTTATGTGCTACGAAGCAGTTGGTTCTTTTGCGCAACGGTTCCTTTACAGATGGTAGAAACGTCATGGAGCGCGCGCGCGAGAGATTTTAATGCAGTTGCACCCGTCGGTGGATTTTACATGTTCTCTCTCCTCTGCCGTCGACGAAAGTCGCTCCGCGAGTCGAACATTCTTCAAGTACCCTTCGCGGACGACGTGCTCTCGTCGGGAACACGACGGGAATTTTTATCGCGACCGCCTCGTCGACTGCCACGGCGCTAATTTATTGGCATTAATCGAACGTACACCTTGGCAGGATATCTCGCGTGAATTCCGTGGATTTTGCTTACCCGGCAGTACCGTGAAATCTTTATTGTTGGATTATCACACGTGGTGGATACCGCTGCTACGAGTTTCCTGGGACCGAGTCACGCGACGTAGAGTCGCTTCTCGTAACTGTTTCTACCTGTCGATGGCACTGCACGATTCTACATTGCGCATGTTCAACCTGCTCTGAGATGAATCTAACTTACTGATTTATGAAAGACGATCATTCGATTAGCGTTGTTCCTTCGAAGAGAACTCGAATGGCAGAGATATACTCGAGTATATATGAGAATTTCCTCGAGTTAACGATTTAGACCCGGTTCAGGACACTCGGATGATTTCTTCCCGAGTGTGTCTAATTTACATTGCGTGTCTCCTTACAGAAATAAGTTGTGTAGGTAATTAAGTAGTTTTTACACTATTGTATCGCGTATACGAAAGGTCGTTACGCGTCAGAAAATGATTTAACAAAACGCACTCTGTGTGTTGGAGTTAATAAAAAAAAAAGAAAGAAAAAATCGCTGTGGATGAACGGAGTCGTATGAATAAAATAATACAAGTCATATAGTTGTAAAAAAAAAATATTGGCTAATGATTCTCACGCTGGACACCCCGATACATTATTATCGAATTGTGTTCGCGGGTGTGTGAATTTATGTGCGTATATACGCGGGTTTTTATTTAAAAAACGCACAACTTATCTCGTTTCTATCTCGCTTCATCGCCGCCTTTGGCTTCTTTGCCGCTAGCAATTTCATGGTCTACCCATTCCAAGACAAGCATTCATCTTCATTATTTCGTCTGTCGTCGTTACGCGATTTCGACGATCTATAATCTATGTCATCCGCCTCTTCGTGGTCCAAGGCCGTAATGTTGAGGAAGCGAGAGATGAGTCTGCAGAAAACTAGAATATACACGTATCGGCCTTGGAATTGATTTATGCGTTCGGTTAGGTGCGACACGCATCACGGGGGATGATTCTTTTTTTTCAAGAAAATAGATCGCGCGGGTCGTATACGCATAATTTTCCGCCATTTGCATAAGACCGTAAAGTAGGCCGAATCTTCCTACGGAGATAACTGCGGCGGTGGATAACCGCAGGTCATCGCGTTTTTCTTGCGCTTTGGTGTGGCGTACACAAACTGACGCTCGATTAGAATTGCATATTTGGACATGCAACATTCATCATCGCACCAGCCAGGTGCTCACCCTCGTGACTTCATTTTGGAAAGTAGGTATTGCGGACCGTATGGTTTATGGTTCCACCACTGCGTAGTTCGTCGCGAATTTGTGATCCAGTGATCCACAACAGTTGAACGGAATTCAAAACATATGGCATATTCCTTATAGAAATTTATCACTAGTAACGCCAATTTATCACTTATTTCGAGTACTTAAATTACTGTATATCAATATTTTAAGTACTCGAAATAAGTGATTAATTGGCGTTACTATAGTGATAAATTTCTACAAGGGATATCTACGGTGGCCATTCGTCCTTTATTTTAGAGGACAATCCTTTATTTCAAATAACTGTACTTTAAATTTATTTATTTTTCCCAAAGTCAATTTTGTCCTTTTTATTTAGCGTTTCATTGTCTAATGTCGTAGCATTAACGTGAGAATTTATACAAAAATAATGATATCTCTTTTCCGGAATCTATTTAAGAAACTGAGGGTTTGTTTCAATATAGTCGAATCAGTCTTAAACTATAAGAATAAGAACGTAAACTTCTGATAGTTATGGAATTATTTTTTTTGCTCGCCGATCTTTACTTTGATTGTAAACTGATTTGGAAGCATGTTGAAACAAAGCCCAAAAAATTTCAAATTTGTTCCTTGTGATTTCTTAGAAAATATAGTCATCAGTCACCGTACATATATCGCATTCATGACAAGCTCTTATAATTCTCTTATAATTATCTAGTGATTCTAAAGTTAAAAAAAATTAAAAAGATGTTTACTTACTTTAGAGTGATCGATATACGTGAAGAAATTTCGGGAACGGCACCAGTTCCGATTCTCGGTGTCGGAGTGAGGCAGGGTGGAGTCTTGGTGACCGGTGAACTCAACGTTAGTCCTGGTACGCCGTTGCAGATGGAAATATTTTTGGACAATGACTCAGCCCCGATCTACGGTCTGCTAGTGACTTATATGCTGGTTACCGATACCAAAACACAGGAAGAAACAATTATTATTAACGGGTAATTGATCAGTGTCAACACATTTTATTACAATTATAATTATTAAAAAAATATCGCAATATTTAATAATATATGAATAATATATTTGTTAATACATGAAATTTTTGCATGCAGGTGTTCCGTCGATCCTTACCTGTTTGAAAACTTTAATACCGTGGACGGCGACTTTTTGACGGCGAAATTTCGAGCTTTTAAATTTCCGGAAAGTACTTACGTCCAGTTTCGTGGTACCGTCAACGTCTGCTTAGATAAATGTCCAGGGGTATGATCTTATTCTTTCATATAACACGCCATTAAATTGATGACTGTATAATTCTTTTTTTTCACTCCGCTTTCGTAATTTTTTTTACAAACAAATATATTAAAATATATTTATAAATATGTGCTTTTCAGATCGAATGCAGCAATGGCCAAGTCGGATTCGGTCGAAAAAGGCGAGCTATTGAAATGTCAAACGATAAGAATAAATTGTTCGAGGTAACCATGTCGACATTCATCAAGGTCGATTCCGCGGATGACGTCATGATCAATCAAGGTAAGATTCATCATTCCGCGAAGCGAATGAACGTTTGAATAATTACCGCATATTCATCATGTTTACGGCTCCTATTTCGCAATTATGTTATTAGTACTCTCGGAGTTCATTAGAAAGGGAAAGAACAGGACGCACACGAAGGAGAGGGCAGTGGTCGCCGAAGAAATCGCAGAGCAATCCGATCCGACGACAATTAGGACGCACGAGAGAGCGTTTCTCGCGGAAGAAATTAAGGAACAATTCAAATACAAGGTCACCGAGGTGGTAGTCAATGGTTCTTCGTGCAGTACGCTGAGCTTGAGTCTTCTCTTCGTCTTCCTTTGCTTCTACAAATTCCTATAGAGAAATTGAAATTCGCGTTTCCTGAGACGTAATTGCTAATTGTAAATAAGACGCAATCTGAGATTAAAAGCGTGAAGAAAAATAAAAAGTATCGCTTTTGAGAGAACTTTATAGTTAATTTGCTCACTAATAATCGAATTTTCGATCATGATGGCAGCAGATCATCAATATATATATGCATAATGATGATCGCATATACATATCGATTGTATACAGTCAAAATGTGCCTAGAAAAGCATTGAAAGAAATTATTTTGTAATGCTAATATTCTAAAGTAGTGTAATTTCCATCTTCAAGAAGAAATTTGTATCTTCATATAATATAAAACTATCGTTCGCATTAAACTTGCGTGTGATATAAAGACATATTCAGTTATTAGACGATAAATTCGGCAAAATTAAATTGTCGAATTTAAAATTCACGTGCGAAAGGAACTTGAAAAATGAATACACTTTTATTTCTTGGCGCTAACAGTAAGCAGTAACATAAGAAATTTCTCCACTTTGCGACCGCCAAATTTTCAATTACATGTGACATTTCAGAGTTTCCCAATATTTTTTTTATTACTCATCTCAATTGCCGTATTTCTTGATGAAATAACTGCCAGAAAATTGGCCTTTGCGAGTGGAGAAAGCGAAAGACCTAGTCGTGCGACGAGGTGTAATATTGTAATGCAACTTAATTATTTAGTAAATAATTATTAATTGTGTATTTCGTAATCCCAGTCTAATTATTACGTAAATAAATGTAAAATAATTAAATAAATCGACAACAGACATGATACAATAATTACTTCTTGATTATCATATCATTATATCATATGATTAATACTTTTAATATCCGTTAATATAAAAAATTAATTATAATGAGAAATAAAGTTCATGTGAAAAATTTAAATTGATTTTAGTTTAGTCAAAATATAATGCACTGTCTTGCTGCATTGGTAAAAATATAGCAAATTTCTAGCTAGGTAATATTTCTAAACAAATTTCTTAAGTAGGCGAGATATATTTTTAGAGGAGGGTCATTATGTGGTTGTAAATTAAAAATCATTTATATAATACAAAATATAACAAATATATATATTTGGAATGTATAGCAACAATCAAAAAATATATCCATTATAAAATATCTTTGGATTATATGTCAGATAAAATAGTATATATAAAATTTAACATTAATATAGTATTTTTGTATACTTTCACATTACAATTTTATACGCACCTTTTACATTCGGAAAATTCCGAACTTAGTGTCAGGTATAGGCGCATTCAGACTTGCAGATAAGCTTAGGCCAAGCACAAGACGCGTGTCGACTGGATCGATCACACCATCATCCCATAGTCTAATGGATGTTAAAATAATATTTATGTGAAGAGAAAAATTAATTTTTTCTACACTATTTCTTACCTAGCACTAGAGTAATACGGATTGCCTTCCTTCTCGAATTGTTGTATAATTGGATTTTTGAGATTTTCTTCATCTTCTTGTGTCCACTACACAATCGAGATGTATATAAATTTCTGTACATGGAAAAAGAAAAAAAAGAAACAAAAATTGAATTGTACCTGTTTGCCTTCTCTTGCACGTTGGTCCCTTTTTACTTGCGCCAATACCCCAGCTGCTTGCTCTCCTCCCATTACGGCAATTCGAGCATTTGGCCAAGAATAGAGGAACCGTGGAGAATAAGATCGGCCACACATTCCTATCATACATTCATATATAGTTTTTTTCTTCAAGAAATTATTTAAATAATTATAGTAAGAAAAAGTACCAAAATTTCCAGCTCCATAAGAACTCCCGATTATTACTGTAATCTTCGGTACTTGAGCGCAGGCCACCGCTGTTACCATCTTAGCACCATTTTTGGCGATACCTCCGGATTCTGAAGCTCTACCCACCATAAATCCTATATTAATGAAAATAGTAAGATTACATTTAACGCAAATCAAAGTACAAAATAATGCATAAATAGGTTTGCAATTATACCAGTGATATTTTGTAAAAAGATGAGAGGAATTTTTCTTTGAGCACAAAGTTGCACAAAGTGAGCCCCTTTCTGAGCACTTTCAGAAAATAATACACCGTTGTTTGCGACAATGCCCACAGGATAACCGTAAATTTGAGCGAATCCTGTGACTAAAGTTTCACCATATTGTGCTTTAAATTCGTGGAATTTTGATCCATCCACGATTCTTGCAATAACTTCCTTCACATCAAACGGACGTTTCAAATTCGTTCCAACGATACCATAGATCTCATCAACGGCGTGTACAGGCAATTCAATATTCTTATTGATTTTAAGGTCCATAGATGGTTGTCGATTTAGATTTTTTACAATCTGACGTGCCAGATGCAATGCATGTGTGTCGTCTGTTGCATAGTGATCGGTGACGCCGGATTGTCTGAAATTTAAGCATTATAAATCAGAGGTCAATATAGTCAGTATAATATGGAGAAGTTAATATAATTATTATAATTAAACTTATAAATAATTACCGACAATGAAGTGCAGCTCCTCCTAAATCCTCTGCTGAAACCTCTTCACCGGTTGCAGCTTTTACCAGTGGTGGACCAGCCAAAAATATTGTACCCTGATTACCAACAATAACACTTTCATCTGCCATAGCAGGAACATAAGCACCACCTATAACATAATTATATATGACAAATCTGTAATATAAAATATAAACATGTAAATATATATCAATAACATAATTAAGACAAACCTGCAGTACAACTTCCCATAACTATTGCAATTTGAGGTATGCCTTTAGCACTCATATTTGCTTGATTGTAAAAAGATCTACCAAAATGCATTTTATCAGGAAATACCTCACTCTGTTTAGACAAATTTGCACCTCCACTGTCAACTAGATATATACAAGGTAAGCGATTTTCTTCTGCAATTTCTTGAGCACGTAAATGTTTCTTAACCGATATAGGATAAAAAGTACCACCCTTTACAGTCGCATCATTTGCTATTATCAAACATTCAGTGCTGAAAAGAAAGATATCTGATAAAGATAATAGAAGATAATTAGAGAAGACTATAATGCTAATTTTATCATCAGATTACCCTTTTACTCTTCCAATGCCAGTGATAATCCCAGCTGCTGGCACTTCCTCCTTATCATACATCTCGTAACCCGCCAATTGTGAAAATTCTAAGAAAGGTGAGTTCTTATCTAAGAGAATATTTATTCGTTCCCGAGCTAAAAGCTTTCCTCTGCTTATATGTCTCTCTCTCTCTTTCTGTCCACCACCCTCAACTATCTTCTCTACAGTGTTTTTCAATTGATCAACAAGGACTTTCATTTGTGCATAATTCTCCTGCAATATGTAAAAAAATATAATTTAAAATATTTATACCTAAATACTAAATTTACTTGTGTTGCGACATATGTCTGAGCTAGTATTGCACAATTAAATACTGACTTACAGTTTTAAATATATTTTGTAAATTACTAAATATTCTTATTAAAAACACAAGAATTATAAAAAAAATAATAAAATATACAAATATATTTTTTAACCTGATAAATTGATGAACTGGTATCTTGCGTACTGCCAATAAGAGATGCTTCTTCATGATAAGATCTCACAAAAAGCCGAAACTGCCTCAGTACATAACGACTTCTGTATAACATGATGCATAAATATTTTTTATATCCTCACAATATAACAAAGTAATAAATACACAACTGTAAATCTCGAGGTCGAGGAAGAATATGTTAACTTGCAGAGAGAATACAGTTGTTTGGGATGATGAGACTTGCTGATTCGTAGCAGGGGGTTATCTATCCCTCCCCTGATGATGACAGAGCGGTCCTAGGATTGAGTATTTGTCCCCTCTTCGAGAAAGTCTTACACAATAATCAACAGTGTAGTCGATAAACATGATCAATTTTTGAAGGTTATTAAAATACCGGTCAAAAGTTATTTACATTATTTTACACGACGTGAGCTCCAGCTCACGTATATGTATATAATAAAATATATTTCAAGGTCTCAATTTATAATTAGTTAACATTCATCGAATTGATATAAATACATTTACACGTATCGTGCAAGAGAGATAAAGCATATCGTCTCTCTCCGTCTCTCTTCTGTCAAACCGGAGCCACATGCCATATGACGTATGTATCGTATCGCATGACGTAGTGTTCAGTATCGATCTATCGACGACTGCATCACTTCGAGAATCGCAATCTGTGCGCTTTTCGATAGATTTTGAGTGGGTCAGTGTTGTAACTGCCGCGATAAACCGGCAAGTCGGTTTCGGGTCGCTCAGTGTTTTCCGCGAATCGTCGTCCGAAAGTGAATCTCGCGCGCCGAAACTCGTCGCGAGTGTTGTGTCAGTGCGTGGCGTTCGTCGTAACGCATAAATCGTTGTGTGCAGACGCGTAGTGTCAGTGATCCGTCTGTGTGTCCGCGGAATCGAGCAAGATCCCTCCTCCCTCGCCCCGCCATTGTCCGACATTTTCACTTTCATTTTCACGAAAGTGCGATTTTAAGGTATGCATCGCGTTATTGCTCAATATCTTTGTTATAACGATAAGTATATCATTTCTTGCATTCGTCGTAAAAATATCGAGAGGTATAAAGCCGGTAACCCGAGAGAACAAATCCGTGTTAAGAGAGACAAGGATGGATAGAGAAGAAAAGTAGGATCTATCTTCTTTTCTTCTCTATTTAATGATCCTAATGAAGAACAGAGAGATGCTATATATATTTCCTTCTTTCTTCAAGATATTCACGATAAATGTATATATATATACAATGATTGTGGTTATTTTTATATTTGTTTATGATATATACTAGTAATGTATTTTTATATATTTTTTTAATAATGAATATTGAATAGTTGTAAGATTAGTTTTTTTAATTTTACGATAGTTTAGTGAAATAATGTGAGATGGCAACACTTGTATAAGGTTTTGTGCGCCACACAGCTGATATACGCAGTACATATAAATATATTTTGTATCGTTATCGAATTAAAGTTTTGTAGGCGGAAAAATAGATTAGATAGTGCTCCACAGTGCTCCACTATAAACCAGAAAGATATATTTTAATCGTGACAAATCCGCTATTCTTTTGTTATTATATAGTCGTAATATTATAATCACATACAACGAAAATGCCTAATATAACTAATTTATCTCATTTTCCTTTAAAGGTATGTAAATAAAATATATTAATTCTATTCTATTTTATATCAATGTGCTCATTTTCAATGTTTTTGTAATTGCTTTCATAATGTCATTGTATATAATCTATCGTACATTTTTGAAATATACAAATAAATTCAGATCTTTTGTGTGAATTTCTAATGTTTCATCATTTGTCAAGTTTTACAAGCTACAAATGTATGATATATTTAACAAATTTCTCTAACAACAAGAAGAAAATATTTCTTCTATTATATATTATTCTTTATTATATATTTTTTTAGGTTATATTTGCAATACATTTGGTACTTGTAACATGGTAAGAACAACTTCTGAAAGCATTTTGCATTGAAATTTTTATAAGAATCTTGCATTGTTACAATTTTGTATAAAATACTTTATAGGGGTATTCAAGGAAGTTGGTGTCCAAAATCGGTGATGATTTATAATTTGTTATTCTTTGTTTGTATATTATGGGCTGTTCATAGTGTCGAATCAGATGAACCGCTTCAATTTGTAAGTTATTCAAGATGTAGGAAGAAGAAAATATTCTTTTTATTTGAAACCAATTATTACGATACATTTTTTATAGGCACTTTTTATAAACGTGCTCTCTATTTTCCTCGATGTGGTCACTTTATCAGTTTATTATCCTTCTGAGTACAACAGTAAGTATATTTTGTATATTGAGAACATATGTATACATTTAACATATCAACGAAAGATAGAAAAAAGAAAATGTGATATTGTTTTCAATTTTGTACAAAAAGTGTATTGATCTAATTGCATCAATTTGCAGATGCATCTAACAAATTTAGCGCAGCTCTTCTGATCATAAATTTGATTGCCCGTCCAGTCTCGAGTATATATCTGCTGCGAATAGGCCAAGGGAGAAATGGCAGCTTAGCTACAGTATTTGCACCGAGTCCTGCCATGGGTCAGTAAATCACAGGGTAGACATCTACGCTTTTTGTAGTGCGTCAGTGCTTCATCAAGATCTGATTTTAAGTATGTGCATGACAATTCTATGTTTGCTTTACTGTGGAACTTGCAGTTATTTGTGTATTTGTTAATAATTACTTATTTTTAATTATCTAGGCACTTATTTTTGTGTCATAATTATTTACTCTCTCTTATAATATTTTTCTTGTGATTGCTTTGCGCCTGAATTTATGTTGCATGAAATTGTACTTCAGCAGCAGCAATTTTTTATTTTGGAATGATTGCATAAATAAAATTAAGTTGTATGTTACTTTGTTTCAATTATTTCCAGGTTTCGGCCGGCAAGAGTATGAAGACATATCACATCCTATTCCACAGAACTCTGATTTTGATGGAGTTTAGGATTGAATAAAATTTGCTTGAAATAGAGCATCTCTAAATATGATATATACATGTTTGCGACATAATATATTTTAGATAATGTTACGTGTGGGATTATTTATTGATGCTGTTGCATATATACCACTTTATAAGATTACAAATTATATACACGTTTATTTATTAAAATTAATATTGATATTACTTTTTGTTTTAATCTCTTGGGATATATTTTATATATGAAATATATTTGTATTTTTTACTTATTTTACAAATATTACATTGATATAAGTTACTTTAACTTAATCGGTATAATAATATTTGAATTATATCGTTTCTCTCGTCCATTATAACAATTAATCAAACACACTGCGATTGAAATCTCATGTACTAGATGTAACTTTATATACTGCTCGTTATATGTGATTAATAGTTTTAATATTCAGAATTTATTCTGTATAATTATTTCTACTATTGAATTGTGAATAAAAGATTTTGATGCAAATATATTGTTGCTAACAAATTTGCTTGAAGTTATATTGAAAATTCATTACAAACCGGATTTTTCAAAGTTCCCTATTTTAGAAACGCTTTTACTTTTAGAAAAATTAAAGCAAAATCTGATCGAATCGCTTAATTAATGCAGGATGTATGTATTTTTGTTTTCAGTGTAATAAAATGGAATTGGTCGAAGTCGAAGCAAGTCGAAGGATTCGCTGCGTTTGAAAAGCGGCGCTTGTGCCGCGAGTGTGGCGGCACTCTCGCGCGGACATGAGGTGGCGCCAGCCGCGCCCGTATAAGAGTCGCGTCCGTGAAGTTCCGCGCTTCAGTAGTGTGGGTGATCGTAGCGGGAGGAGGGTGGCTCCGCGCGCGGTCGCACCGCGAAACCGTGCCCACTCGCCTCGACCACGGAACGTCCACTCGTTTTCACGTCTCGTGCGAAAACATGGCGGCCGACGACGAGCCGATGCATCTGTACGAGGTCTTTCAGAACTGCTTCAATAAGATCGCCAACAAGCAAACTGGTGAGTGTGCGTTGTCTTTCAGTGCTGTGTGTCTCGCTTGCGGGGAGCTGTGCGTGGCTCGTGTGGAAGAGAAAATGACGGTCGTCTCTCTCCCTCTCGCTCCCTATCTGTCTTTTCTCTCTGGTGTCTATGTGTCTAGTGTTTCTTATTCGTTGCATATTTAAAGCCCGTCTCGCGTCTCTCTCAATCGGTCGATCGAGCTCGCGAGATCGCGCCGAGAATCCGCATAGTCAATGACGACGATGTCTCTTTCTCGACTACTCCGTTCTGTGTTTTGGTTCGCTTGTTAGTGCCCTGGACAGTGCTGCCCCGTCGACGGAAACTAATGCGAGAGCAACGGCTCTCTGTCACGTATTCCCCGCGTCCAGTGATTATTCTCACCGACGCCGTCGTCGTCCTCGCGGAGTTTTCACCCCCGCGTGCGTCGTTCGCGCCGCCGCGCCGGAATGCGAATACATAACCTAGACACGCGCCAGAGAGACGCTCTCCTACGTCGTCGTCCGCTGTCATATGCAACAGTGTTGAGGGAGAGACCGATATATATGTCTATGTATGCGTATATGTATGCTTGTATGAATGCGAGGGTGAACGCCGGTAGGGAGATTTTCGGGAAAAAGATAATCTTTCGTCCGCGCGATATCGTCTGCTCTCTTTCTGTCACTGTCGATCTGTCACTATTGTATTATCCGTACGTTCGTCCCACGTGCCGAAACGTCAACGCGATCGTACTAATCGTTAGTGGTTAATCGTTCGGATGTAATGCAAGGAGTCCATAAATCGAATCTCCTTTTTTCCTCTCCTTTCTCGTGGGTTTGTTCTCTGTCTCTCTCTCTTTCTTCCTTCCTCCCTCACTCGCTCTTTCGTCAGCCTCCGCGCGCGGAGAGGACGTCGTTTTTTTTTCTCTTATTTCTCGCTTCATACACCTGCCAGAGAAGCAGCTACGGAGCGATGCGCCGTTGCGTGCCGCGAGTCGTGCGTTACCTCTCGAAAGAGGTTCTCATTCTTTGTGGATTTTCGATTGCCGCGGCACGTGTCAAAAATATTTTTCTAGTAGTTCTGCTAGTTTTTGAATACCAAATATTTTTATCTGCACGTAGAAATTATATTGCATCTATCCTTTACGATGAATTATATTCATATGCTGTTTATCGATTAAATGAAATCTTGTCATGAAAAGCTACAAGAGTTAAAAATTAATAAAGGCTCGTGATAACGATATTTATTTGTCAGAACATATATAATATATATGAGTGATTTCTAAAACAATTTTGATGAAAATATTTACTTGTAAAACAGAAAAAAAACAATCTTATTTGCATCTTTATACATAAATCATATATGTCACAATATGTATGTCTATGTGTATATATATATATATGTATTATAATACATATATAAATAATGTACGTATATATGTATATATATATATATATATGCAGATAAGATCGTGTATTATGTTTTATAAGTAAATATTCTCGCATCCAAATTGTTTTAGAAATCATTTATTTGTTTGTGCCAACTTTACAAATATATTCTTTCTATTAATACGATTATTACGTACCTATATTTACACCTACTTGGACAACGCAGAATCATTTTAATAATATGGCAGTGGTTTTTGAAGCCGCGAAATTCCCGCGCTAATTATCGTTTCAGAGAGCGTACAAAGCAATTCGAAATTAGGATTTAGAGGAAGGCGCGAGAGGTGTATTTGCGCGGTGGTCCGCGGCATAGTTGGTAACTGAGTCTCAAACGTTTGTTTGGTTTGAGACGCTGTTTGGAAGACGAGACCGTACTGTAGGCCCTCTCTCGTAGGCTAAGTTCGGCGCAGCCGGAGCGGCTCGGAGAGACCGCAAAAACGCCTTCTAGACGCTTCGTCCGAGGCGTTCCCATATTCCTTTGAAATGCTGCGGGAGCTGTGTGTGCCGGTTATTCGGTTAAATATAATTTATATTGCGGAGCATTGCGTTTTCCTTATAAAACTTTGTAGGACGGTTCGAAAGTAAGAGCGTTTCGTAACAAATTCGTAATTCTTTAGTTAGTTTGCGCGATATTTTTTACGTAATTTTCCCACAAAAATATAGTAATTATATTTTTGATTTTATATTTATATGATTTTTAATATATTTAATCAAATTTTAAATTATACTCTATCATAATATTAATATTTTATAATTATATATGAAAAAATATACATTATTAATATTTAATTAATGATACTTATTGTTAGTACAACTTCAAACTTTACTTTGCATAAAATTATTCAATATTGATGAAAGTTAGTTTGGACAACAAAAGATGAAACATTTCCAGCCTTTGCGATCGGGGAATCATTACGGTATAAAATCGATGAGATTCATTATTTACTCTCGAATGTTTCTACCTGGTGTCAGGTTAGCCGAGTCGCGTTTCTCATAATTTGATAACTATGAGACAGTTAACCATCGCCGGTTTGTTTCGGTCCGTTAATCTCGACGATTGTCGAAGAGGCCTCTAGTCACAGACTGTATTACGCCGCCATCGTATTATTAAGGTTCATATTACTTTGCGTATCACAACTTAACGAGCCGTATTACGACGGTCGCGAGCCTTCAATTCACGGTACGATCGCTCGATTCGCTATTTCACAAACAGTATTAAATTTCGGTTTAATTGGCTCCAACATAGACAATGCTAAATATAATATACATAACAGCAAAAGTATTTAATGCGTGAAAATTATTATTTATTAATTATTATTGAGATTATATTTTCATATATTAGTAAATATATAGGCAGAATAAACATAGATATAGAGAATAAACTCATTTGTTGTCATAAAATGAAATTATATAATGCCCATCCATCCGCTTGATTTTCTGTAGTATCCTAGAGAGTCGAGGGGTCGACGCAGGGTTCAAGTGCAAGGGTATCCGAAAATAGAGCATCCACCCTACTTACTGAAAATACTTCCGGCTATCGGTTTTAATTCCCTCTCATTTGAAAGATTTGGTCGATGTATTTTTCAGTTTTTTCTCTCTGCTCGCGCGCATAGGTAGATCGAGCGATTAAAATTTGATCAAACATACAACGTAATAACATTAATAACACAAATACAGATAAAACGCGAACAATAACGCGTTTTATTGTTCGCCTGTGTTTTGTAAATCCGACAGCCGCAGGGCGTTTTGAAAATTGCTTTGCGCTGTATTTCGTCACGGAGGCGGCGAGATGCATCCTAGAGATGAATCCATCGGCGAAGATAAACATTCCGCGCCGAGAAAATAATCCGATTTGAAATTACGCGTAATGCGAAAACACGGTATCGAAGCCGAATGGTCGATCGGAATCTAAAATTATCGCGTACGGTCTATGACTCACGAGTAAATCTACCTGAGTACGAGTTTGTTTCAGGAAGTAGCGAGCTCGATAAAATATAGTTTAACAAACACATATACATGATTCACGTATAGCATCGATCGTTTAAACGTCGCGAACTGCCGAGCGATCGGACCATTAATTCTTTAGCGAGTCGTTTGATATTTTTTATCGTCTACAAGTATTTAATATCCGTTTCAAACAGAGAGATACATATATTCGTTCGCGCGGTTTTTCGCCAACGCGCGCTATTTACCGCGAAAAAATAAGGCTGCCTTTCGTGAGCGGAGCACGTATGTATTCTGTGGTCCATCGAATCCCACAAAATCATCGCCGCATATTCGCGACTCTCCTTTGAGATATCCCATATCGTCGCATTGCGAAGGTTTGCTCAACATTCCGAACGTGGTCCATCGACGCCATTTTCGAAACTCTCCTTCCTCGGAGCGAGAGTTTAAACGAACGACTATAAACGATCTCCAGACATAACACTCGTGACTTAGGTCCTTTTCTCTCTTTCTTTCCTTAGCGTGTGTACTTACCACTGTCTCTTTTTTTTCTCTCTCATCTGGTTCTCTCTTTCTCTCTCTCCCTGAAGAATTATCGAGGGAGTGTCACCGTGATGCACCTGCCTCTCGCTCTGTCTCTCTCTCTTTCTCCGTTTTTTCTCACTCCCATGTACCACCACCTCTTTCTCGGCCTTTCTTTCTCCGTCTCCCGTGCACGCGCCTCGCGCGCGTCCTCGAACTTATAATGGCTCATGTCGAAAACCCACATACTTAAAATATGGAAGAGGGTGCGTCATCTTCCATCGATGTCGGAAAAATGTATAAATCGCGATGCCGCGCGATCTAAAGCAAAATTGTTCCCTTGCAAGGCTTGTTTTAATGAAAAAAAATCAGTCCGTTAAAATATTAATATACTTTTTTTTTAAGAAATTAAATCCTCAATTTTTATATAATATATTTTGTAAAAATTGTTTAAAATTTCTTTCGTGTATATATATTTAAATTAGAAAAAATGTAATATGGCAAAAATATAAAAAATATTTGATAAATATAAAAAAGTTTAAAAAAATGTCGAGTTTGTTTAAACCTTTGATTCTAAAATGTAGAAGATTTGTATGATAAAGTATGAGAATATGTATACGATTATTTGCGATAAAATCCGCTTAATCTCTCCGCGTAAATTCGCGGTCAGATCCCGCGTACGTCGCTTCGTTTATTAATACTGAGTGGTTTATTAGCACCGAATGGTGCAACTTTACGTGAGCACGGCGTTTACACGAGATGCACAGGCAGTTTTCACGAAGGAGATAGCAATGTATATCGCGGTTATAAATATATTCTGGCGAATTTTATCACACAGGCGGCGATCTCCTTGGACGCTTTTCAATCCTCTCCTTAGGAAAGGCCAAGTCCAGAGTGCGTTCACATATGCACGCACACAAATTAAGGGCGCGAGCATAATCTACATTTACAGCGGGGACTCGATGAGCATCTGCTTCTACCCCTCTCGCCCTCGACCCTCCTTGTTCACCCGTCGCCCTAAACTCGATCCCTTTCCCCGCCAACGAAGCATTCTCTCCCAACATCGCGCATTCTCCCAATCAGGCTCATTCCTTCTTCGTTCGTTGTATCAAG